GATGACTCGGAATTAATTGCCTTTTTCGTATTTTTTATTTCCAATGACTCAAAATGTTGAACCAGATAGTAGAACTATTTGACCCACGAACCAGTGACTGATACGATTTTATATTCTGTTCAAAACTTCAAATCCAATAATATTGACCCAACTAAGACTGGTAGATCAACAATTAAGAAAAGGAAACGAAAGCCCCACTTTGATAGGATAATTGCAAGATTCCACATGTTTTAACTTTATGTTTAGCTTTGGAAAGGTGAGTTTCTTTTCTCACACCCAAACGAGATAAGATAAGTAGATTGTACTCCACCTCAGAGAAATCTGAAATTACAATCCCTCCTAGTCTACTAATAGCCCCCCTTATAAATCACATCCTATCCGTGAATTTAACCTCAATCTGTGGTTAAGATTCATCCCACCTGTAGGGTGGGGCTAAGATTTGTTGAAGTGGACTGGGTAATATATTAAAAAACCCCTAAAAATAGCTAAAAGTTGAGAGCATCTAATCATATTTGATTATTTAATTCTTTTAGACTGAGCAGAGTGAGAATGCTTGGGTATTATATATCTTCCTTCAATTCCTTATAATAATTTCATCTTATTTTAAAACTTACACTGCATTTGATAATGTCCTGTCTCTCTCTCCCTGATCTTTCTATTGACCTATACAAATCCTATTTCTCCAATCTATTATTATTGCCCACATGAGATCATGCTCCAATACTTAAGTTTTATGTAATAAATGGTTGCATCTTGCATGCTAATGCACCTCCATATAGGCCTATATATTAATGGAACTGAATGGTAATGCAACAAGCAAGAGCACTAGATTTGCCCTAGTCTAGTTCTACTGTTTTGATTTTTTATTGCTTTGGTTGGGAGGACTCCAACAAAAGTCCAAAGTTCTTGCTACTAAGGTAGCATTAAAGAGAAAGATAAGTGGGGATCATTTTCTAGCTTTTGCAGATTTGGAATGTATTACTGATGTTGATTGCTGGTACCATCTTTTTCATGAATAGACCTTTAAATTAAAGCAAGCTTTAACTACTTGGCTAGCTAATGGGAACCACATGATTAATCTCATATATATTTGATTGAGAAGGAAATTTAAATTGAGATAAATGTATCTGAAATCAGACACTAGTCAATAAACAATAATGGAGGGTGTTCAGTAATAACTCTCTCTCTCTTCCAGGTTTTTACAAATCTGCAGATCCAAACAAGACCAACAGTAAAATGGAGAAGAGTAGAAACAACCTAAAAGCACATGCTTTTTAAGAATCAAAAGTTGCGGCTTGGGCCACTCTCCACCCTACAAAAACATTCATTCAAACACAGATAATAATAATAATAATAATTCAAGAACCATTATGCATTTCAAAACTGCACCGTGATCCATGTTTGGAAAGCAGGATCCAATCACTGAATTGGTCGGCCTAGTAGTAGTTACATTGTGCCTAAAATTACCATTAATTGATGACTATAATACCCAAAATGTGATAGTTGGAAGTCAAGTTATTGTACAAAGTTTTACACATGGACTAGTGGTGGGTCCTGATATAGATTATGTCAACATCTGACTAGTTATCTGAGCACCATATTCATCTATATATTATTGGTCCTCTATCACCAGATCTAAGATTCTTCTCCACTTGACAGGTTATGGAGCCCATTATTCAATGTAGTAGTCCACAGTTGGGTCTACATCGATCTTTAAGTCACTTGATTCTATATTGTCAAAAGTTTTCGGCCTAGTAGATTTTGCCAGGTGGCAAGAGATCATCGTTTTTTCTTGGATTGTTTCAAGACATTCAAGAGAATTCAGAGGATAATATTCGCAGGGAAGAGGAAAATGCTTGATGGGGCATGGGACCCCAGTGCCCCACGAGGACAAAAACAATTTTCTAAGATAGAGGTCTATACTGATGGATAATTTTGGTTTACTATGATGTAGCAAAATGTATTACCTCTTGACAGTTCAAATACTAAAATTTACCGCTGCCCAATAAACTATAAAGCATCGATTTGAATAAAACTTTATGCAGTTTTATTTTATTTGCACTAATACAAATGCATGGAAGTATAAATAAAAAAATGCAAATTCTTGTTTAATTTTGTTTTAAGTTTTAGTTTATTCTGCTTATTCATGTCTTAATTTACTTTATTTATACTGCAATCAAACAAATTAATCTAAATTTTAAAACAAAAATAAGTCAGAATTTACACTCAACTAATTTCCAATGCCATAATTTTGAATCAGTGCAAATTTGTTTGTATTGCAACCAAACACAGCCCTCTATTTGCAAATTTGAATTAAATACAAATTTTGAACTCCGTTCAGTTTTATATATATTTATTTGTAGTGTTCGATTATGATAACAGAAAAACTTACAACCAATCAACCAGTATCATGTCTTTGTCGGGGGTGCTTTGATTGGTCAAAGCTCTTCCAGTACCATATCTTTCCAGTATCATAGATTTTCCCTTATTTGTAACTATGATTTGTGCCTTATCTGAGGCAAAATTTGCACTCCAAAAACTGATGTAAAATTTGCATTACTTCTCTTCCACCTTTGTTTTCTCTCATATAAATTAGTGTGGAGTTTGGACCACATCATTATACTTCATTCCGTACTCCTCCCAGAGATAAAACCTTTGCCCTACCTTCCATCTCTCTTTCATATAAAATAGAGAGTATGGCATTTTACTTTACATTTCACTCTTCAAAGACAAACAAAATAAATTGGAATCAAATACAAAAGTAAACCAAAATTTACTCTCAGCCCACTTGTGACTCAAACAAATGGAGCCTTAGAAGACTAGAAATGCATCTTCAAGTAATGCTTTAAATGACCAAAGTTGAGTTGTAGTTATATATATTAAGGAAAAGAACTTGTTGAAAATTTATTCATCATGCATGTCAAGACAATGCTAAACCTTTAAATTTCTTATTGTCCCAAATAGTCTCTATTAAAACCCATAATCTTGTAGTAAACAAAACTGAAATTTCAATGAATTGTAAATAAGATAAGAACTTTCCCTTTTTAGTTTTTTTGTAATATCATTGAGTATATTCACATATATTTTTTTGGCCAAAAGATTTATATACCAATTGATAATTAATATGAAAGTTTGGAGGGAAAAGAAAACTTGCTTTAATTCTTTCACCATAATTTCTGATACAAATAGGTCAAGAAGTTCAGTTCCAAACTCAAAACCAGCCATGCATTATAGGGTTTTCAGAGTTGAATACTACACTACTGTATAAGCCACTGGGAGATTACACGGTTTTGTTGTACAATTGACAAGTGTAAATGCACATGAAAATGCATCTCTGCACTGTCTCACTAGTGACTAGTTGACAAGTGAAACCGGCAAGGGCTCCACTGCAGCCAGAGGCTGTTTTCTTGTTTTTTTCCTTTGCCTACCATAGACAAGGGGATTTAAATGCGAGAAAGAAGAAAAAAACAAATCTCCATAAACCAACAATCTGTAAAGAGACTTCTATATACATATTTTTTCCTTCTCCCCATCTCATGTGTTTATTTTTTTCTTTTAAGTAATAAGTCAAGATCTTGCTGCAACCACAATCACCACATAAACAAAGGAGAGGGTCACTAATTTAAGCTTATTTTGCTTTGGTTTTAATATATCAGAAACAGACTCCACCTTCACGTGAGAGAGAGAGATAACCCAAATCTAGATTTGTTTCCATTTAGGAGCATACATGGGCGACTTATCCAGATTAACCAGCTCTGTATTGCAGTGTCCATCAGTTCAACCGGTCCGACCCCAAATAAAGACTAAAGAGTATTTACAAAGCTTGATGGGTTCAACCTAACCACTTGGGTCAGTTAATTAAGCCCGGTTCAGCCATTCCTGTTCCCATCCGGGCCAGCCAAGGTGTATGGTAGTTTCTGGGGTTTCCAGTTAGACCTCTTAGGAATTCAGCAAATTTCCATGCATGAAACTCATCCAAAATTTTACCTAATTTGCTGATGTAACACTCAAAACCAAACCATCGCTTGTGTCTTAGAAATGGGCTTTAATCTGAAATTTCCCCTCACTTTTGTGGAGTTCTTTTCAACTTATCTCGACTTTTCAATATCTCTAGAGATCCCCGTGAGACACCATTGTTTATAACTATAAGATACCTACCTTCCGACTTCCGTTAGGTCACGGTTAATTAGTGACCATGACATGAATTGGTTCACATGTACCATAATATTTATTAAATGACAAAATTAACCTTGACCAATCAATCAATTTTATTAACTAATTTCTTCATAATAAAATACCCTGGTTTATTTCTTTTCCCTATTTTATGTTCTTTACTCATTTTATAATACATTAACAGTTCACTTCATCTTCTCACTTATTTCATAGACAGAATATATAGGTTTTAAACTTTCAAGCCATTAATTATGGGTATTTTGGTTAAAAGGGTAGAACTGTGGAAATCTTGGGATCTTAATTTGGAGGTAACAGGTAAGTCAGGGTAAGTTTGAGACAATCCAAGAAAAGTGAGGGGGTTTCATATTAAAAAAAAAACTTCAGAAAATTGAGTAATATAATTGTGCTCCTATTATTTGTAACACTCTGCTCTTAGACAAACCAATTCTTGCTCAATTATGAAAACAATGGCTTCTTATGGCATCCACCACACTGAAGTAATAGTCAACCATGATTCCTCCTCTGCACAAAAGATAAATGGTAATGGCTGAACAGCTGCTAAATGGCTCAGACCAGTGACAGCAAGGCTGTTGAGAGCATTCTTCTCAATTCTCATTAGAACAACTATCTGTGTTAGACCCATTTAAAATTCCTCAGAGTCTATTACTCTATTATACAGCCATGATTCTATGGTGACATGTCTATAATATCTAGGAACACAAAATGACACATTAATCTTTAATATATTGCCCGTGTGTCATGTTCTCAAGTGCCCATATTCACATCTCTCTCTATCTCTCTCTCTAAAAAAAATACCCAATTCCCACAAAGGGAGGAAAATGATGATGAAGATGGAATAAAATATCCATCTAAATGGAGAGGAGCATGAGAGGCTCAGCATTTTATAGACAATGGAATACAGTCTGGTAGCAGGAGACCCACTCATCAATACACAGAGCCCACTAGTGCACTACTACTACTGAGTAGTAGTAGTTCATAATTCCCCAGTTCTCCCCTCGTATATATAAATACTCTAACCCCCTAACAAATCCATCAAACATTCCATTCATTCACCCCAAAGCCATGAGGACTCCCTTCCTTTTCCTCCTCTCCTCCCTCCTACTAACCCTCCTAAGCATCTACCCTTCCCAAGGGTCCGACGACCACAAATGTGACTTCCCAGACCATGACTCCACCCTCCCAGTCATGCACATCTACAGCCCATGCTCGCCATTCCGGCCACCCAAAGCCCTCTCATGGGAGCAGACTGTGCTGGACATGGCCGCCAGGGACGAAGCCAGGCTTCAATATCTATCGAGCCTCGTCGCCGGGAGGTCTGTCGTGCCAATCGCTTCCGGCAGGCAGCTCCTTCAGACTCCTACCTACATTGTGAGGACTAAGATTGGCACACCAGCTCAGACACTGCTGATGGCCATGGACACCAGCAGCGACGTCGCCTGGATACCCTGCACTGGGTGCGTAGGGTGCTCTCCTAATGTCTTCAGCACAGGCAAGTCTACAACCTACAAGGCCGTGGGGTGTCAAGCTCCCCAGTGCAAGCAGGTAGGTATTCATTACTTTTAATTGCTTAATGTGGATTAGGACTACTTCTAAGGCGTAAATTAGAAAATTAATGCATGTGAATGGCCATTACTCAAAACTGCGCCTGATTAATTTGTGGGGTTCTACTTCTATATATCAATTTGCAGGTGCCCAACCCAAGCTGCATTGGCACTCTCCGCAAGGCTTGTTCCTTCAACCTCACCTACGGCTCGTCGACCATCGCGGGTACAGTCGCACAAGACACATTCAAACTCGCCACCGACCTAGTCCCGAACTACTCGTTCGGCTGCCTCTCGAGCGTCACAGGCAGCTCGGCGCCACCGCAGGGCCTCCTCGGGCTCGGGCGTGGCCCCATGTCCTTACTCTCCCAAACCCACAACCTATACCAGTCCACATTCTCCTACTGCCTACCCAGCTTCAAGTCTCTCAACTTCTCCGGCTCGTTAAGGCTCGGTCCAGTAGCTCAACCCATTAGAATTAAAACTACTCCGCTCCTCAGAAACCCACGAAGGTCCTCCCTCTACTACGTCAACTTGATCGGCATTAGCGTGGGAAGAAGGCTCGTCCACATCCCACCAAGCGTCTTCGCCTTCAACGCCACGAGCGGCGCGGGCACCATTATCGACTCCGGCACGGTCTTCACAAGGCTAGTGACTCCGGCCTACACGGCGGTTCGTGACGCGTTCCGGAGACGGATAAAGGGCGCAACCGTGTCGTCTCTGGGCGGGTTCGACACATGCTACACAGTGCCCGTCCGTGCACCGACCATAACGTTCCACTTCACGGGGTTGAACATGTCGTTGCCGGCGGACAACGTTTTGATACACAGCACGGCGGGGAGCATCACGTGCTTGGCCATGGCAGCGGCACCGGACAACGTGAACTCCGTACTGAACGTGATAGCGAACATGCAGCAGCAGAACCACCGAGTGCTAATCGACGTGCCGAATTCGAGGCTGGGTATCGCCCGTGAGCTCTGTACTAAATAAGGTCACGGTGGTGGTTTTGAGGTGTGTCGGTGGTGGCGAGAGTGGTGGTGTTCGATGTAGTTCTTGCTTTTTTTTTTCACATCTGTTTATCTATTTCTTTGTCATGTGCACCAAAGGATTGGATGGTGGTAAATTATCATCTCTTGGAGGGTTGTGGGGTCTCTCGCCATGTCCTGTGGGAAGGGTTCGACTGGTGGTAGTTCCGTAGAGTTCTATATATAGCTTGAGCCATGAGTTGATTTATTCAAGTGTTTGTACTTTATGTGCACTGAGTATATCTCGGATTACCTTCAACCAGGTTTCAAATAATAGACAGTGTAATGCTATTACTCTCTCTCTCTCTCTCTCTCTCTCTCAATCAATCAAATACACACTCAGAGAGGCAAAAGAGCAATAAAGATGTCTTGCAGAGACATGTGAAGGGTGTTTTGTTCATTATAAGAGTGTCTCGGAAAGTAGAAACTTCAAACATGAGAAGGGTCCCTACCTGCATATGCTGATGTGATTGAAATTAACCCAGTTTCCATTTGATGGGGCACTCTAATCTTAGAATGTGTGCGGATTTCAGTGAAAATGGAATTGGCTTCTACAAGTTTCCAAAATCTAATTAAAATTGGGGAGGAACAGAATGAAAAAACAATACTATTATAAAGCGATTCACGCAGAAGCAGCTCCAATCAGTATGTAGAACAGAATAATGTAAGGTATTATGTTCATCATGGAAGGATCTTAGAAGCTGAAACTAAGAAGCAACAAAACAATGATCTTGCATTCAGAAGAATGGGACCATAACAATTTTGGTTGGCTTCACTTAGATCTTCTCTAGTTGCAGTAGAAATGGAATTGTCTTCACAAATGTTCAATTTCACAACTTAGGATAATCTATTGGCATAGAAAAATCCGAAAACTAGTAGACTGATTTTGGATTGTTGGATTAAAAGAATTTGAATTTCTATCCTCCCCCCCCCCCCCACAAAGAGAAATTTGGATTCTGTGGTTAAAATGAAGAATTCATGAGCTTTTCTTCCCACATTCTCCAAATTCCATCACACTGAACACAGCCTCTAAAGCTGACATTCTTTTTTCCCACATGCCTGCAGCAAGCAGATTCAGAATTTTAGTGGGTTAGGTTCTATTTTTTAATTGGTGGTAATGGGGTCAGTAATTTGATCACAGTTGACTTGGGGAAGAGTGAAATTTAATTCTGTTTCCACCCCCATGACCTAAACCCAAACACAGTCTCAGGGGTTTGTTTGGGCATTGCCTGTCGCAACTCCAAACAGGAAAACGTGAATGAATTTTAACACCACTCTAAGGTTCTTTCTGAGTTTCAATAGAGCACTTTTTCACTTCCTCCAATGGTGAATCCAGAGCCTTTTTGAAATGTGACGTGTGAATGGGTACGGATGCTCCAGATTCCTTGAGCAGCAGAGACCCAGAAGACTGTTCACTGTTGATTATATGAGCTCTGAATCCCATAGCCGAGATATGTCATTGATTCGGGAACAAACGATTGTTGTTTGGCTTGTTGTCAATGCATTAACATGTCTCCTCACACCTCAGTACAGGCAGGTGGCCAGACAAAAACCGAAGTGCCCAATTACATATACCTGAAATCCTCCGTAGTATCTCCATTGGACCACAACATCAACAATTACTGATGGGAATATTTTGATCTCTTGATTAAGATGCTGATTTGGACCACATTGGAGAGTGGAGTACTTCTCAATACCATTGGCTGGTTTAATTTGGACCAATTCCTTGCCTTCATTGGTGCATGTAAATCGGGCCAAGGTCAGTCTGCAGGGACCCAATGATCCAGGCTGAACACCACCACATTCTGGGGCCAGACCCAGATCCATGCTTACTATTCCTTGAGTAGTTTACACTTTCAAGCAACAAAACTTGTCCAGAATTGGACCAGCAGACTGTGGTGGCTTAGACTTAGTGGGCCCAAAAGGTAATCTAACCCATGGGATCCCCTTAATGCCCCATCAAAGAGATGGCCCACCATTTGAATTTGGACATTGAAGGATGGTGGACGGGGCCCAAAGCATGATACCTACAATCTGGTGTTAATGATGGTAGAGTGAGGACCTTTCAGGACTACACTTCTAATATTTAAGTGTACTTCCTGTTAGAGGAATAACATTACCTTATTTCTTGAAGTTTGGGAGTTGGGATTCGGAATGTCATTGTTTGCTTCTGAACTTTCAAATAAACCAAACAGCTAGTAAACCCATCTAACCACGAGACCTTGGTTCAGTTTTTAAGGCCAAGGTTTTAATTGTCGGATATATAGTACAAATGTACAAGGGAAGGGAATGCGGGTTATATCTGTATTTACCATTTTAATTCATTAATTGCAACACTAGCTTAATCAACACATAAACCATTTAGTGCCCGTTTGGGAGGGCTTTTTTGTTTTGGCTTTAACCTTATATGTGCTCACGAACCCGGAATACCATGAAGGCATGAAGCTGTGTTTGATAAAACTCCGGAAAAATGAAAATTAGTTTAAAGAAAAATCACAAAATCGACTTTACAATGAAATTAAGAGCCCGTTTGATAAGGTTTCTGTGGTAGAGGTGAGTTGTGATGCTAGAGCCGCGGTGATTGATCACTTGCGTTCAGGAGAAGCTACCTAGAATAGCTTTCATTATAGTCGCACTCCTCACATCTGGAACAGAGTGGCACGATCTCTGGATTCTCACCAAATATAGCTTCTGGTGTTCTCGTGTGGAGCGCTGCTCAGAACGCAAGAAGCTACACCCCGAAAGCCCTCCCAAATGAGCAATATATCAGGTAGCTTCTCTGGATAGGCTAAGTCAATACAGTTAAATCAATGAAGAAGTCCTCCCAAATAGGCCCTTAACATATACTACTGTTATGGAAGTAAAATTTCAGATACTAAAATTAGGCTATGTTTGGGTGTATTTAAAAAAAGTGTTTATTCAAATTAAGTGCTTATTTGGGCCATTAAGCACTTATTTGTATTTGGAAAATAAGTCCGAAATAAGTGATTATTTTAAAAATAAGGGCTTATTTTTTATGCCCAAATTTTCAGCTTTTTTTAAGCACTTATTCAATTTTTTCGTTCAAAATTATCCCTAGTTGAATTTTATAAAGTACTTTTACGAAAGCATTTTTACGAAAGCATTTTTGCGAATGCATTTTTGCGAATGCATTTTCAATGAAAGTACTTTTGTGAAAGAACTTTATAAAAGCAATTTTATGAAAACAATTTTATGAAAGCACCTTTACGAAAGTACTTTTGTAAAAGCACTTTTATAAAAGCAAGCACTTTCATAAAAGTACTTTATTAAGTGTTTTTGTAAAAGTACTTTTATAAAAATGCTTTCTTAAAAGTATTTTTATAAAAATGTCTTTATAAAAGTGCTTTCATAAAAATACTTTTATAAAAGTGCTTTTATAAAAGTGCCTTTGTAAAAGTGTTTTCATAAAAGTGTTTTTATAAAAGTAATTTCATAAGTGCTTTCAAAGGTTATATTTTGAAAATTGGAAAGAAAATGGACAAAATAGTCACAAATGCTTATTTAAGTGCTTATTAAAGAATAAAACTACCAAATGCCCAATATAAAATAAGTGCTTTAAAAGATAAGCACTTGAAAAAGTTGGGTGCCAAATGCAAATAAGTTCTTATTCAAATAAGCACTTGTTTTTAAGCACTTATTTAATAAACACTGATTTTTAACTTAAGCACTCCCAAACATGGCCTCAAGGAGCTTATTATGTTTGGTGGTTATTATCAAGTATGCTTGTTGAGGGGGAGATCATTTTGATTAGAGTTTCTAATTTTGTGAAAGTATGGTTCTTGTGTCAATTGTTTCTAGAGGTGAGTGGCCTTCGAGCTCTCTCTCTCTCTCTCCTCTCTCTCTCATGGTTTTCAAAACCAAATCGGATCAGATGGTCGGACTGGAAAAACCAAGAACCAGTTAGGTGACCGGTTTCAGTTTTCCCAAAACCGGATTTTCTTCAAAAACAGTTGATTTTGGTTAGTAAACTGCTGACCCGAGCTATTAACTGTTCAAACGGTTTTGACCTTTTTTTTTTGTCAGAACGAGTCGACCGTTCGACTCAATAACCGGACCCCTGAACGGTTCAGCCTCTAAGTCAGTTTTAAAAACCATGCTCTGTGTGTGTGTGTGTGTACGCGCTCTTAGTGCATTGTTCTTCTGGGGTTTACTCCCTTGTTTTCTACAGTTTTCATGTTCAGACTTGATTGTTTTATTGTATATATATTACCCTAAACATTATTGAATGAAATTCGAGTCCAGATCTCTTCCCAACCAAAAAACTCTTCCAACATGTTCCAACATGATCTATACCCACACATCTCAAACATGTCCCATAAATGTGTATGAAACATGTTTGAGATGTGCAGGCAAAGGTTTTTTTGTTGGAAAGAGATATAGTCTCATGAAATTTGCCTTTTGAGGCTTAAAAAAAGAAGAAACCAGATAGGTTTTCTAGGGCGACGGTTTGACAATCTGACCAACTGGGTCGGATAATTTACTGGCTTGTGAGTATTTTAAATGAAAATTAGAATTTTTTTAAAGAAGAGGAAGAAAGAAAGAAAGAAATAAAGAAAAGAAGAAAAAGAAATGATTAATTAATGAAATTTCTGTTGGAGAAGATTCCGATGAGAATGATATCCCTACCCCATTTTGTCAATACCCAATTTTTATTACAAGTGGTGAATGGCAATTTCTTGAAATACATTATTTTTTCCTTGAGCAATATATTCCAACTTACATTAATTTGAATTTCGGAATATATTGTTGTTAATTTACATTAATTTATGGTTTATTTGATTATTTTTCCCCGGGAAAAATAATATAAGATTTACATTTCTTTTAATCCCTTCTATCATCATATCGGACATAAGGTTTTCCTCTATATAACATGGGGGCCTAATAGTGCTACTATATAAATGGCTTTTGGAAATTTAAAATGTTGCCACTTATTCCTGAAACTAGGGCTGCTAATTGGGCTACCCGATTTGAAAATTTTCAACAATAATTGACTTGGATTATGATTTGCATCAAAAATCTAACAAATTTAATCAACCCGACCTAAGTTGCACCCCTATCTGAAATTATTTAGGCTGCATTTGGCATTCTTTATTTTAAGAATTTATTTCCTTTTTGTAATTAAAAACTTAGTATTGATAGGGACATTTTGTAAAAAGAAAATAAATCCTTAAATCATTCCTTTTCAATGCATCTGATTACATCTCTTAAAAGCTCATCACTTGTATGATTGGTAATGTTTCCCAGGCAATGGCTTGCATGATTGGTAATGTTTTTACATAGTCTAAAAATGCCCTTTCTTTTAATACTTTAAATCTTCACAACGACAAGAATACCCGATGTATTAATCAACTCAAACATGATTATTTACTTCACACATAAACTATATATTCAAGCATAACAATACGCACTTATTCGTTCCAATATGATCATATTATACTTAAATGTTCTTTCGCTTTTCTTTTGGCTATTTATCCGAGTAAATGCATTTATGTTTGCTATTTTTATTTCCCAAGTAAATGAAACAATGATCATTTACCCTAAAAAAAAAGGATAGAATTAGAAGGGAGAAGAGGTAATATTTCCGTCCCATCATGCGTTGACAACTCTCTCCAAGTGGAAAAATTATTTATCCATATGGGAAAATGGTATCGCTTACCCGGAAAAGTGATATCAACGGAAAATGACATTTCTATGGATATTGCATGGATCCACAAAAAGAACATGAAAAATCGCAAACGGAACCTAGCTAAGAGGTTGGACTTTAGACTTCTAAATACAAATTTAACATGTGCCCATATATGTCAACGGTGTTTATGTCTTTTTATATGTAACTAATTTGACAGCCAACCACGAGATGACAATTTGTATTCTCATGTCATATTTGTGTCGTATTGAGGTGAGTGTATTTGGATATATGAATTAATACGAACATGACATAATTAACTAATCATTAAATTTCTAAACACAAACATAATTAATTAATTGTCATCCCTATACCTATCATAATAATATTTCATCCAAATTCACATGCATTATCTAAAATTTAAAACTTTTGCTCGTAAACAGGAAATTTTCGAATTAAGTTGATGCAATTTTGACACAAACAATTAAAATAAATCCAAACTCATTGATTTAAAGGGTGTTTGGTTCCGTTTACGTTTATTCAGTAAACGTTTATTGATAGTGCCATATAGACACCACTTCAGCAGTTTCTCTCTCTTATTCTTCTGCATGCATCGAAAATGAAAAAAGTGGACTTTGATTTTTGTGCATGTCAGCCATTTGTGAAAGTTATTTTTTAAAGTTTTCAAAAACGGCCATGCATTTTTTTCACTGTTACGCTGATGTGGAGCCTAATGGCGTCTAATTGTCATAAACAGTTGTAATTATTGTATTTTTCGGTTTTACCAGCAAATAAAGTGCAAACGTTTATTTAATAAACATAAACGGAACCAAACACATTCTTAGTGTCATGTCAAATATTTCCAGCCCTAATTGTGCACAACACATTGTAGTTGCACGTCAAAAACATTGAGATTGGTCAGCGTTCTATTGTCAACAGATCCCAATTCCCTTACATGAACACATGTAAATACAACTATTTAAAAAAAGAGTTCAACTATGATACCAGAAAAACATGGAACCAATCAACCAGTATCATAAAACTGATATCCAAGCAGATGATATTTGTCAAAATTACGAGAGGGTTTTGATTGATTTTCCTTTTAAAAATACATATATAGTGCTACCAACTATTTTTAAAAATACAAATTGTGCCCGTCTAGCTAGCTATATATAATATAAAATCAGGATGCAACGTAAAGAATTAAGCTTATATGAAGGCTTTAGGTCAGCCTCAAACCATTGGACCTCCATATATGCATTAAGCTTATAGCATTTATTCTATGAAATACACATGCAATGAACTTATACAAAATCTGGCTTAGACATTTACTTGGTATATATGAAAGACTTGGAGCCAAACCCAACTTAGGCTCCACCCTAAATTGTAATTAAGATGTTACCAAAGAGCTTTGGTTTCTAGTGGGTCAGAACATGCATAGAGGCACATATAATTACCATGGATTCCATTACCATTTTTATTTATATTTCTTTTCTTGTGTTTCTCTATTATTTCTTTCTGCAGAATTGCATAAGATTTTGATAGACAACTGATGCAAGCTGTGTATATGAACACTTCATGGATGGATATGGATCACATCTCCTACTTCACATGTAATTCTGTTTCTTGTCAAGGGTGTGTGGTTAAAGATGGAGAGGGTCTTGTGGTGAGGGAGGGTCTCATCTTTACAATTTGCTCTTCATCCACACCCATTCTCTTAGCCAACAATCCTGCCTCCAAGAATCTCTTGAGTGCATCCTCCATGTATTTCTTCCCCTCTTTGACTGTCATTTGCTTCCCAATCTTTTCAGGATAGCTTGTCAAGATATCATCGCCTTTCAGCACTGCTGCAAGCTGCAGCAGCTCCTGTTGGAACTCACTTAGCTTCGCGTTTTCATTAGGCCCACCCTGCCGGATCTTGACCGGAGTTGGCAGTTTCTCTGCGGTAATAGCAAATGTATTAATAAAATTAATTTTTATTAATTTTCATTAGGCCCACCCTGTCAGTCATTTAGAAAAGAAGATAATGAATATTTTTTGTTGTACCAATGTTTTAAGACTCAGCCCGGACCGGACGGTTGGACCGTGAAAACCAGGAACTGGTAGCCTTTCTGGGTCCTAGTTAAGTGATGGTTTTGGCAGGTTGAACGGACAAACCACCCGATGATTAACAAGTAAAACCGGGACCCGAGAGCATTTCATTTTTAGTCCAGTCCAAGTCTTAAACCATTGGTTATCACTTCATAACTAGAAAGAGTTGCCACACCAAACATGGACCTACAATCCAAACAGTTTTCTACATACCCAACTCTTAATGGCAAGCAACTCCTGACCAAATCCATTCAACACCTCAAATTAGGGTTGGGTCTGAGTTAGTCATTACATACTCTAACCTGGCAAAACCCAACTCAACATATCTTTCTTCCTATAGTTGGACCAGGTCTATCTTTATATCTAAGGGTTTTTACTTTTTACTATAGTCAAGGCCAAGGTTCTATAAGACAAAAGGTGGAGACAAGGCCATTGATCTTGAAGAAGCAAGGCCTAGGACTCAAGGTGTTTTAATTTGAGGCTATGTATATATTATGTATGTATGTTTTATAATTTAGATAATGCAATTTCCTTTTAAACTTTGGAATATTATTTATTTATTTATTTGATGACTAATATATACAATTGATTTTTTTTTCATTATAAGCCTTTAATCCAACTCCTATTTTTTTTAATTCTCATTTATGTTTTATTTGGTATTTACAGCTCCTATTTTCTTCACTTGATTTATAATAAAGGGAATAATAAACTCTTACTACTACTACTATTTTATACTCTAACCTCAAGTTGCTGAGGCTAATAATTATGAGGCGCCTCTTGCCACTTGAAGTCTGAGTCTCATGTAACATACATGTAAGGGTGCATGTTGGGTTGCCCCATTTGAATAATTTCATCAATATTGGATTCGGGCCAATTCAAAATTGGTGAGGTTTATATTATGCTTCACCAATCACCACTTTGCCTTATGGCCTTTTAAAACTTTGGTCAGAACCCAGATTAGAAATCTTCCAATCATGGAATTTCTCAAAACCAACCAGACCAATTGGGCCATTGCTAAGTCACTTCTAAAACCTCTTATTTGTCACATGGCTGCTGGACCAGAATCCAAAAATTGGCCCAATACAAGGCCCAGGTGGTGGCAGATGAGAATGAGAATAATTTAGCTGAAGCACATGGAGAAGGATCACGTTGCCCCACTCTAAAATGTGCCACCAAACAAATTAATCCATATCTATTATTATTCCCTTTTGGCCGTTTCAAAAGGAACAAAGAAAAAAATAATAATAACAGAAATCAAGGAAATAAAAAAAAGGTATTTACCAATGTGAATGGTTTTGTTTTCTAAAATAAAAATAATTGAGATGTCAGAAAAAAATAATATAATTTTAGTTTTAAAAAATAAAATCATTCACATTGGCATTTGGCAAACACCCCCCCCCCCAAAAAAAAATATATATATATATAAATAAATAAATAAAAGTGAAGAGAAGAACCTGGACAATCAGTTCTTGGTTGGGTTCTAGTTTGGACTACGCCTTCAAAGGTACCGGCCCATTCGTCCCTCCTTGTCAGAAATGGAGAGGGGAGGTTGAATAGCTTCTTCACTGTTGCAGGGATGGATGAATGCTCGAACTCTGACTTGGAGAATGGAGACCCATTGGGCCCATGAACAACTGCATCATCAACATCATCATCTTGATCATCAATTAAACATTCCAAAATGCAGAATGAAGCTATCATATGTTTGTGGGCTTTGGGCTTGGGGAAGGCCCAACATCAAGAACTCCTTTAAGTCTTTAATCTTACCCCCTTCAAGATGGATCCTAGTGGACTCCACTAATGCACCACTATCTGTTACCATGTGATCGTTTAGTCAACCCACAGTGTCCTACCACCTAACCCGTGACCACCCCATCAATCACACAATGGGCAACAGACAGAGGGACAATGGGCCCTCAGTTTGGTGGACGGTGCTAAACCCTTGGCCTCAGTCTGACCAGTTGTGGGCGGTTCAGCTAGGTGGCCTGATCTCCGGTTTCAGAGGTGATCTGGCATCTAAGCATTGCCACGTGGCAAAGAATTGCACTTACCAGTACCCTTCTCTATCCATGGCGACACCATGATGGTAGGGACCCGAACACCCAAGCGGTCGAACCGAAACAAGAACGGCGCAGGCCCAATTATCCCATCCGGACTCGGCACACCTCTCACCGGCGTCGGCACATGATCGTAGAACCCACCATGCTCGTCGTAGGTAATCACAAGCAACGTCTCATTCCACTGGGGGCTCGCCCTCAACGTCTCGTAAACCTCCTTCACGAACATCTGCCCCTGATAAACATCGTGCGACGGATGATCGTCGTTCGCCGGCGACAGCTTGGTGTCCATGTACTGCTGCTCAAAGACTACATAGTTCGGCAGCTTCCCGGCCTTGGCATGGCTCTTGAACGATAACCCATATGAATGGAACTTGGTTAAGTACTTGAGCTTCCTTAGATTTCTGTAGAACAGCGTCGCCGGTATGTTCTGGTAGTAAATTCCGAACGATAGCCCGGCGTCATCGATGTTTTCGAATATTGTTCTCTGTGGGTACCCCTTAGCGAGGAGGCTTGGGATGTTGCTGGTGGCGCCACCGGAGGTTGCCGAGTGCACGAAAAGTCTGTTGGGCTGTGTCGAAGACGGGACGGAGGCGAACCATCGATCGAAGACGGCAAACTCAGTGACGAGAGACTTGTAGACAGCAACCATATCTGGGTTGAAGCCGTTCATGACGCTTTCGGACATGTTGGTGGAGTTGATCATGGAGAAGGCTTGCTGGGCGAAGCCATTCATGGGGGGAGGAAACGCGGAGGTGTCGCTGGAGCCGAAGATCTGTTCGCGGATGGCTTGGAAGGAGTGGCCGGGATCTGGGTCGACGTAATGCGATTGATCTTTGAAGAATATGCGAGGAGAGGATGGGTCGGTTGTGGAGAGTGGGTTGGACTCGGTGCCGTCGACGCCATTGATTCGTGGGTTGATTCGTTTCATCCACCCGAGCATGTGATCGAAGGATCGGTTCTCCATTACTAAGATCACCAGTGTTTTGATTGGACCTGCTGTTGCTGAATCCCAATTGCAAAGAAGAAGAAAGAGAAAACATAGTCTAGTGGTAGCCATTGATGGCCTCTTCTTTCTCACCATTGTTGTTTCAGAAGAGAGAGAGAGAAAGATGAAAGTAAAGTCCGTGAGTCCGTGACTGATTCTTCTGGAAACCTTTTTTTTTTTTTTATCGTTATTGGTACAGGGAAGAACACACTCTGGTGGAGATCCCAATAAGAAGCAGAATGTTTAGATAGGTTAGCTAGATAGAGAGCTAGTTTGTTTTCCTGTAATATCCTATCAATTGGAATTTAATGACAAACGTATCCACCCTTTCAAGTATCTGTACCTCTCCTATGGAGGGTCATCATTAACCTTATAAGATGATCTTAACCGTCCATTGTTATATGATAGGGGAAAACAATGGCCAGAGAGGGAAGAGAAATTGTAGGTTAACCTCCAACTTCAGTTTAGTTACCCTTTTCTTAGGTTTCAGATGGATTGGATTATTTGAATAGGTTTATACCTAAATCCAAATTTGTAGTATCTTATCATATAGAAGATTCAATTTAAAATTGAGTATTATTTATAAATTAAACTAAAAATCCAATCTAACTTTTTGACCAATTAAAACGCCCCGTGAATTTTGACGAATACTAATATCTTGATTGATAAGGGGGTGGGGTGTTCCTCAGAGTAAAATTGTTTTGTTTTCTAAAATAAGAAAGAAACTACCATGACACCAAAGGGCCAAAAGAGTATTTTTTGCAGTTATTTTTATTTTAAGAAATAAAACCTTTTACATAAAAGAATACATGGAAAATGAATTAAAATTGACTTTAATATTATATATCAGGAAAGAAATTACTTGTATTGATAAAGATATCATCATCATTTAAACCTTATATTTTTCTTGTATATTTTAACACAACATACTAATGATGCTCGTGATAACAATGGATTTAAATTCATATCTCTGTTAGAACTACCCAGCTAGCATACCAATTGGGCCACCACTCAATTGACACAATCACACTATCATAGATCTGATGGTGTAAAACAAGCTCACAGTGATTAAGGGATATGATATCAAAATGGATTCAAACTTATATTTAAATAATAAAAAAATACCATTTATGGCCTAATTTTAGCTAAAAGGGAAGGATATCAATTAGATACTGCTCCTGGTTGGGAATTTTAAAAACGATGACTAGTTCTTGATGTGGTTTGTACTCTGCAGTTTGCACCAGATAATTCTAGCTAGATTATTGATTAATTAATTGAAATTTGAAAGGTTTTTGTTTTAATTTTCGAAGCCAGGATTTGAAAGCTTTGATTGAGGGACATTTCATGGATTATTATTATATTTGTTGATAGTGTGAATGTGTGTGAAACAAGAAGCAGCAAATAATTAATGATAATGTCAAGTTCCAACCACACTAGATGTGAACTGACATGCAAAAGGACTATGCCCAGTGACGATAAGGATCTAAACCGAGCCCCACATGGAGTACGAATATCCCCTTTTAGTCGATGGATCGGATTAGATCGAAGCCAATCCATAAGGTTGCGTTTGGAATATCCAATGGCCATGTGACAAGCTGATTAATTTATGGTTAATGGATATCCATTTGACCCAGTATAGATCGGATGATCAAGTGGTTAGATCCTTGGTCAATATGAGACACTTGTCTCAAATCTGATGGAGCATGAATTTTAGTGTTGAAGAGCACTTATCTCAATTGATTATTTTGGTTATTGTTTGTTCCCAATAACAGGGAACATAATGTTGGAAAAGCAGTCTATCTCACAATTGCTTCACATACATGAGATAAGCTCATTACTGAGACAGGAAAATATCCTCTCACCTGTTCCAGCTCTAATCAAATTCAGCAGTTCTCTCTTACACTTTGTTTGAGAGGTAGGTGTCTCCGATCCCATATTGTGTGGCATCTACACTTCTCTCTTTGTATGCAGGTTAGGAGTGCCCAAGTATTCGAATCTCATATTGTGTGGCATCTACACTTTTCTCTTTGTATGCAGGTTAGGAGCGCCCAAGTATCAGCCGTCCATCTCTGCATCTTCATGGTTCTTCAAAAGTAATATTACATATTGGTCGTGTTTTGCAAGCATTTTATAGAATAGAGGTGTTAATATATTTCATCCTGCAACGAAACCATTTCAATTCACAGCTTTAATGGCGGATCTCAGTTTCAAAGAATGATAGAATTTCATCATGCAAGGAAACCATTCTTTGGATTTCGTATTGAAAATGGCAATTTTTACTTGCATTGAATCCCAGTTCCAATTCACATAGAACAGTTACCACCGAGACCGGATCTGCTCCTCTCACACAGGGTGCCTCACACCGACCTCACAGGTATATCTCACCGTGTATTGAGAACATCTCTTATAATTAAACGTTATTATTTATAGGAAATGTTCTCAATGCATGATAGAATGTGCATGTGAGATCGTTGTGAGCTGGCCCTGTGTGAGGAGCAGATCCCAATTCGTTACCACCACAATTGGCCGGGGGGGGGGCACATTGGTCTCTACCTACAACAAAAATGGGTCTGATAATCCGCCATTGTTCTTCCACTATGCCCAATATGAGCCTCTTTGCATCATTAATCCGGTCCCCATTTGCATTCCCCTAAACCGATGCATGATTGATTTCCACCGTACATATTTGCATTTACATCACTATCAAACACAGCCCAAGGGAAAAGTTTTCTTCACTCAATATTCATATTAAGACTTTCTATCATCAATTCCTGTAAGGATTAGCTGAACATAATGACTGTTCAGCAGGTTATGGAACCAATGATAATGTTATGCCAGTAATAAAATATATGGAACCTGCACCTTCCATAGTGGTGCCTATGAATTTATTACTAATGTGCAACATTACCATTGATTCCACAGTCCGTGGAACAGCCATCACATTCAGCTAATCCAAATTCCATCAATTTATCATCCAAAGAATTGTTTTGAAACCAAATCAAATCGGATGGCTGAACCGGGTTCAATCAAACCAAACTTTTCTCTGATTGGAACTGGTTCACCATGGTTGAACTGAGATTGAACCAGGCATCCCCTTCTTAATATATGTGAAATGGGAACAAGTGGGAAACCGTGTTAAGAGAGTCTTTATTTTTTATTTTATTTTTATTTTTTTGCTGGGTGAGTGTCACTAGACTTGCAAGGGAGTGGAGTTGGTGAATCATTTCTCAAATCTCAATACGCAGTAGAGAAAGCAGATTTGTCCAACACAAATGCATTATTTATACTTTTCTGCAAAAAGCATATTGCCTCATGCCTGTCTCTATCTAACCACAAACTCTTCCATACATATATATTACCCATCTCTCGGTATGAAAAGATGCTTACACTCAACTGAGTCAAGTATGTAGAGAGACAGAGATAATGAAGTTATGCTCTCATGGGTACCCATGGATTAGTAGGGAACCTCCTTTATGGTAGTGTTTGGCATCTTCTTAAACTATAATGACATTACTTAGAGTATATAAATGCGTGTAAGGCATGTTAGGTACTAATGTCCCATTAAAGATAATTGTGGATGCTGATTTTGACTTCAAAGCTTTGGAACTGATTAGAGGGCCCATATCTCATTGTCATTTTATCTTTTGGTTAGAAGTTTATGATATATGTATGTGTATATGTGTGTTATTTTATGTATAATTTTATATTATATATAAATATTATAATTCATTTTAAACACATATATATATGTTATGTAACATAAGATATTTAAAGTAAGGTTTTTAAAACCGACTAGGAGAACGAATCGGTTAGGGGTCTGGTTCCCAGGTCGAACGGTCTGACTATTTGAATCGAATGGTTGGCCTGTCCAAATAAAAAATAAAAAATTTAAAAAAAAATAAAAAACGGTTAAAACCGTTCAAACAGTCAAACAGTTTGAACAATTAACCGTCTGGATTAACGGTTTACTGACCAAAATCAATGATTTTTGGCAAAAATCCGGTTTTGGAGAAAAATGAACCGATTCCCAATTTTCCGGTCCGACCGTCCAGTCCGGTCCACTTTTAAAAACCATGATTTAAAGTTATCGACCCGCAATCCAGCCCATGCCTGGCCCATAATCACCCTCGTCATGGGCTTTCCAGTACCAACTTTCCATGGTGCATGGTTTTGTTGAGGTCCAAAACCATGGATAATTATACCAGGATGCGTATAGCTTTTGCATAAATAGATAATTATTTAAATATGGGAACAGCTACTCAATTAGGGAAGAAAATAATAGGGAATTGCAGGCATGGAATTTCACATGAAATGAGTAGTGAAACTAATAAGAATGGTTTAATAAATAAATTAGTTAGTTATTGGGTACATATTATGTTTGAGACTCATCATCCAAGTTATAAGTCTTAAAGCATTTAGGCTTAGTTTTTTATTTGATTCGGAGATTAAATTAAGTTTGATTTGTTGTTAAACAACCCACTTTGTCTAGAAGAATGGAATCCAATCAATATAACATCTTGAAGGCTTCTATGCTGCATTGGTTTTTTCGTTTACTTGAGTTAGTAAGTTAAAATTAGATTATATTTGTTTATTAAAGTATATGACACAACTTTAACTTAAGAAACAACAGAATTTTAGAGTGGGACTTGCAATTCTAGATATGCTTTTACCTTAAGGGTTATTATGAATTATTCTTCACTTTTCTAACATTCTTTTAAACTTATCCTCACTTTTTAATAGCATAAAAATCTGGGGGGTGGATTTAAGATAAGCCGAGTTGAATATTTGGATATTCAAGTTCAGTTTGCCAAAAACTCATGAGGCTCGAGTTCAAGCTTGATTCGAACTAGAGATTTAAGCTTGAGTTTGTCTCAATTTTAAAGATTGTATGTTCAAGTGAGTTATGCTCACAAGGTGAGTTTTATTGGACCCGAGCTTGACTTGATTAACAAACGAGCCTATATATTGGACTCAAGCTCTACTCAAAACTTGATTATAATTGAGTCAAATCAATATTTTCATAAGCTAAGCTTGAATGACTCATAAAAAGCTTCATTCTTGTCCACCCTTGGCAAATCAATATGAGTGACTAGAAGAGAAACAATTCACATGTGCCATTATTAATTTTAATAAAATAATTAACCCTAACCAACCAGTCTATCCTATTAATTAATTAAGTTTTTATAACAGAAGTATCACTTGATTATTTCTCTCCCTTATTTCACATT